ATTAACCCCTGCAGATAGTGCTAGGGTGATCACGTGCAGTACTATAAGCTGGGATGACTAGTTTGTGTGTGTGTATGAGGTTACGTGAGGAAATTCTAAGGTTTAGAACATATTTACTTGTGTTTTACTTCACCAATAGGGACGTGTTTGAATAATTCGCGATTTGTTGTGAAAAAAAGTGAAAACAAAAGGAGTTCCATTTATAATTGTGTTTCGTGTTTCTCATTTTTTATTAAGAAACTTGAGGTGCTTGTCGCCCACCTTCCTCCTCCCCTTAGCCACCTGTCAAGGCTGTTTACTACCGCGGTGAATCCTGACAAAAGGTTCTGTGAGCTCATCTGGCTATGGTCCTAAAAATGTCTATAAATAAAAGGCATCAAATAATACTGGAATAAAAAATGACATCTCTTTTAAAGAGTCAAAACCATTATTAGATTTGATGATTTTTCTGTCTTTAAGAAATTCCTTTAAACAGCATAAAGTTTAAGGCCATTCCTGTAAAACTATTGATGATTAATGATGCTCAGGTGTTGTTCACTTTATTGCTAATTAAGGTTACGAGTTCATTTATTTCGTTTGGATAATTTAATTACCAACAGCTGATGTAAAACCGTCATATAATAGGAAAATATAATATTGTCGAATTATTCAATGAGAAAATTTTTGATAAAGTAAATAATTGTAATAAGAAATATATAACTCATCTTGAAGGGTAAAATTCGTCTTCTTTCTCCATAATATAAAAACTTTAAACTGTTCGCTTTGTTGTGATGTTCTTGTCAGCGCGTGAGAGGGATATTTTTATTTTATTTTTTTATTTTATTTTATTTTTTGCATCTTATCTATTTTTCAGGTAGTTATATAAAAACTCTAACTTGTTCCCGAAATAAGTGGACAGTTCTATTAACAGCCGATAATTGAAGTGGAAATGTGGAGTTTTTTTTTCTATCAGTCACGACAGTCCTCTTTCTTTTTTGCCAGTGTAAGGTGTGGAAATACATTTATCCAACGAGTTGACAGTTGTGTTAGGTACCAATAATGGAGGAGAAATACGTTTTGGTAGCGTAAAAGTTGGACGGTTGTAGCGGCGTTGGTCAGTGAGGGAAGAATTTCTTTAATACACATCTGGTCGATTTTGTTCCATTCTGTTGATCTTTTAGTTATGATTAAATTAATGTGAAATACTAACACAGACATCCTTCCTGTGATAAAACAACCTACATATGTATCCAAAGTATCATTTATATACAACATTTTATCATATCAATATTAATAATAGATAATAAGTATTCTGGAGGCTGGTATCGGCAGAATGTTCGTCAAACCTGAATGACTGACAGACAATTTTGTTTTTGTTTTTTTTACGTGAGGGAGTTTTATTTTTCTAAAGCTTTTCACTATATTACACTATTGAGCGTACGGTCAGTCCCGCACTACCGTAGTTGTGTACAAATTTCACATATTGGCATATTGTTGTTGTTGGTAATAATGAAACACACTAACAGTTAAAGATAGACTGTCGTTATTAATCTGTTTAATTTATACTGACAAACTAAGCAGAAGTAGAGGAATTTTGGATCACGTCAAGATTAGCCACACTAACTTATTTCACCTGATGATTACAGTGTATATAACCTAACCTAACCCCTCCAGGTGAATAAGTTAAGGGATTTGATATTTATGTGATTCAGAGTTCTATAACTATGCCATTAATCCTATTACTTACAGACTGTCCGAAACATATTTGTTAGTTGTGTTTTACGGCATTCGACTCCTTAGAAGATTTTCAAAAGTTGCTTCACAATCGTGTTGGAAGTTGTACCAAACCCCAATTTACTACAGCGAGGAACAAGTCTATTGGGATTTGTTCCATCAGTTTGGAGATTCGTTCCAGCTGTTCTATTCTCACTTCTGTATCTTGGGAATGTATTTTGTGTCCTATAATTTTTTGGAATATAACTGGACAGTATTGCACATCACTCAGTCAATATATTCACCAAAACTATCCTATGACGAGGCGATTAATTTTATGTTTAATACAATTACCATTTTTTTTCATTTTGTTTTAATTACCATATCGGCTTTTTTTAAATACATGAATATCCAGATTTATAATCTAGATTTGTTACTATGCAAACCGATGACCTCCCAAAAGTGAATATAGTAGCAATTAATCTTGTATTCGAGGTCATTTGTGTTCAGTAATTACCAGAAGCGATCAACTGGGAAATACATTTATGGGTTGTTGTTTTTTATCACTGACCCGTATGTAAGAGTTATGTGTTCCGTGTTATGTGTTGTGAGTTACTTGAGGCTGATTGATACTCTCTCTCTCTCTCTCTCTCTCTCTCTCTCTCTCTCTCTCTCTCTCTCTCTCTCTCTCTCACTGTACATGTGCTACATTGTCACCATCATCACCCGGACCTCCACTATTCCCTTGGTATATTCAACAACTAAAGCCTACATTACAAGTCCTGCTTCTCCCTCACCCACTGCCTACCTTTTGTATAGTTTAATTTTTAAATGTGTTTGTCAAACTTTTATAAAATATTTCCTTTAAGTCGTAAATAAAAAATTGTAGCGTATTCTCTCATAAACGTGTCTCAATAACGGCAGTTGTGTTCCAATATTGGCTTGTGTTCTCACCATTATTTGACGCCACGGAAAAAAATGGTGTGGAGGAGAGAAGTGAGACCCAATAATTGGTTAAATGTCATATACTATATATATATATATATATATATATATATATATATATATATATATATATATATATATATATATATATATATATATATATATATATATATATATATATATATATATATATATATATATATGTGTGTGTGTGTGTGTGTGTGTGTGTGTGTTTCATTTTATTAAAGATGTATTTGACACTTAGTCTAGGAAAATATTTATTTTCAAACATGTTAAATCCTTATGTATAGAACTGGTTTCGTTTACTCAAATTAAATTTGATTTAATTACTATATATATTGGCTAGTCGACCCGTATCTCGTTTAATACCAGTTTTAATACTGGCTGTCGCTCACTGGCCGAGGACACACGTGGATAACGGGAAGAGTTAAAAAAAGAGGATATTTTTTGGTGGTTGTGTGAGGTATAAAACTAGAACCAAAGTTGAGCTGCGGGATGCGAAAAACACAGGAAATATAACTTATAGCAACAAATCGTAAAAATTCCGCTTTTGCATTTTCATGAATCGGTCGGGAAAGGCAACTTTTTCCTTTCCATTGTTTTATTTCGGTACAGTTAATGTTGTACCGGACACTATATTTATTAAATGTTATCTTTAATTACTAAATATTCCGTCTTGTCTTCTGTATAAATGAGAGTGAATCATAAGCCTGACTATTTATTAGAGACACTGTAGTCACAACATACTGTTCACTAAGTCATCAGTATATAGGACTGTATGACTATGTTACACTGATGTCAACAGCCTTCTCTTCCCCAACATAAAGTTAGGTACCCATTTACAGGTGGGTAAACTGGGGGTGCGTCGGGTTCGAATCAGAGGCCCTTGTGATAGGAAGCGAGCTCTGTAATCACCCAATGTATATATAGAACAAAGATTTACACATCGATAACCTAAGGATAGTCATCACGTAGTCAAATATATAATTCAATTCAAAGGAATAAAATGATCAATACTTAACAATTCAGTGAATCTTACTTAAAACCCGCAAGACCTCCCAAGATAGCGATGCCAACTCTCGTACCTAACATGAGCACAACTTCCCAGGTAAAGATTCAGCCTAGAGTAGGAATTAGTATATCAGAGGAGACCCTTCCGTATGGCCAGACTCCCCCAGAATGGAGTTAGGTAGTTGTGGAGAGGATTAAGTCAGTCTTCTCTGTAGACGGCGAAGGAAAAATAAAATCTGACTTTCAGCAGACATTAAGCTGTTCAAGTCTTGATGTGATTCTCTCTCAAGTGGCTCACGATGCTTCTTCAAAACTTTAAGGCATAACAACAAGGAGAAGATGAAATTGTCTGTCTCGTGTAAGTGGAAGGTAAAGTTACATCTCAGGTGCTCACGTCTTGCCTCCACATAGTATCTTTGTATGCCGTTCAGAACTTCACTCTACAATCATATAATAACTGAAGTGCAGGGAGAAGACTTTGTTGATTTGTGTCTTGTAAGTAGTTGTAATCTTTTGTATATATATGCTTTTTTTTTTTAAGGGGATGAAATATACTGCGCAAGAAACAGGAAAAATATGTTTGTTTTTATCGGCATTTAGAACTTTCAAAAAAAAAAATTATCTTAGTGTTACTTTCTCTCACCTGAACTAATGCTCCTTTCTCTCACCTGAACTAATGCTCATTTCTCTCATTTGAGCTAATGCTCCTGTCTCTCACCTGAGCTAATGCTCCTGTCTCACCTAAGCTAACGCTACTTTCTCTCGCTTGAGCTAATGCTACTTTCTCTCACCTAAACTAATGCTACTTTCTCTCACCCGAGCTAATGCTACTTTCTCTCACCTAAACTAATGCTACTGTGTCCCACCATGTTCTCGCTCCCCTGTGTTACATATAGTCCTACAGTGGGATGTTAGTATTATCAACATAATCCATAGTAACATGATTATCCCCACCACAAGTGTTTAGAATTAACAGATGTGTATGGGTAATATTTCCGGGCCCGTTTTTTTTGTGTGTGTGTGTGTCCAAATTTTGATGGGTGGCAGGGTGTGATTTCGAGGTCTAAAGACACACTATACACGTCTTCTTTACACACCTACGTACACATGGTAGAAGGCAACACCGAGATCCCTCTAAACTCCTACAATGATCCGTTTAAAAATATCTCTTATCATCTATGGTACATATAATCTACATAGTAAGTGGGTTTAGTTTAGTTAATATAATTTTTATTTTTCTTGATCTGACTGATGGATGTTTTTTTTTTTTTGCCTTTGATGGATCATGGATAACCTCACGTAGGTAAAAGGTTTGAATAACACTCTCGGTGTATACCAAGTATATATATATTTATTTTTCACACTTATTCCACAGGATTATAAATAGGAAATTCATATCCATAATTTATGAAATGGCGACCCAAAAAAAAAAAAATCACTTTCATGGAAAATGAACATCAAGGTGACGTGACGTTGTGGGTGTAAGGGTAGGGGGGGGGTGTTAGTGAGCTTCTCCGTGCAAGAAGGGTATAGAGATCTCATCATCACAGCCAAACCTGAAACATAGAGACAAACAATGTAAAGAAAAACAATATTGATAAAGTTATATGCATTCTGTTTACTATTGATGTTGTAATTCAGTGCCATGGAGGAATTCATGTACACACACACACACACACACACACACACACACACATGTATATTTACGAGCGATATCGGTGTTCTTCATTAACTGTCTAATGAGTTTAATTTGTCTTGGTTACACGTAATTGCTTTTAGGTGTGCAATAACATACATCAATAATGACATCTTGGGTACTACTGCTACTACTACTACTACTACTACTACTACTACTACTACTACTAATAATAATAATAATAATAATAATAATAATAATAATAATGATAATAATAATAATAATCCCTACATATGGGACAAATTCTAATAATAGTTACAAGGTTATATTGAGTTCAAGTTTATAACAAAAAACTATAAGATATTTTACGTTTTATCAAAATAGTGTGAGAGGTATTATATGCTTATGGAAACGTAGTCAACATATTTATTTGGGGCTTAAAGGAAAATACTGGAAGTGAATAAATAAATAATTTCCCAGTGTGTAAATAAAAAGATAGATAGGTATTATATCTATGTATGTGGAAAGGTGAGTAGATACAGTTAATGATAAGAAAGTGAGTTAATTAAAGACAGGTGATGAAATATTTAAAGAATTATCTTACTTGTACTCACCTGGAGAGAACTCGTGTCAGTACACCTGCCTCTCCTCCATCTCTCAGTCTCCACAATCACCGTCTCAGCTAATTGTGAGAGTCTGGGAGAGGAGGGTGGCGGACCTCCAGGCAGCAGGAACAGGCTGAGGGAGAGGGTGAGGGCGGGGCAACAGCAGCAGGAGACTCACTGGCCAGCACCCGTGTAACAGTACTGCCGCCGCTGCCAACAGACACGCCAGCGCACTGCAAGGTAGAGCTCCGGGCGCTGATGTGTTGTGGTGCTGCATGGCTGCCAATTCCTCCCCTGGGGACACATACACACATGGGCATTATATAAACTGATTCATAACACGAATGCTTGAGACTGGGAGACACAGTACACCATAACTATGAGACTGGGAGACACAGTACACCATAACTTTGAGACTGAGAGACATAGTACACCATAACTATGGGACTGAGAGACACAGTACACCATAACTATGAGACTGAGAGACATAGTACACCATAACTATGAGACTGAGAGACATAGTACACCATAACTATGAGACTGAGAGACTTAGCACACCATAACTATGAGACTGAGAGACATAGTACACCATAACTATGAGACTGAGAGACACAGTACACCATAACTATGAGACAGAGAGACACAGTACACCATAACTATGAGACTGAGAGACACAGTACACCATAACTATGAGACAGAGAGACACAGTACACCATAACTATGAGACAGAGAGACACAGTACACCATAACTATGAGACAGAGAGACACAGTACACCATAACTATGAGACTGAGAGACACAGTACACCATAACTATGAGGCTGAGAAAGATAAAACAAGAACAACATCACAATCGCCAACAACACGCCAGGCACACACCTGAGGATCACCTGCAACAAACGTCATTAGTTCCCACCACAACAAAGACTCATAATATCCTCCATTGTGTACCTGTGTCTTGCTCTATTATCTAGAGTTACTTAAGGGTTAGGTATCCCAGCTTATTATACCAGATGATTTAACACTTAACCTAACCTAACCTAACTTAACCTCCCCCCCTCAGGTATCGGTAGGGTGTTTAATCAGGTGAAATAAGCTGGGGTGTCTAATCTTCAGGAGTACATACATACTTGTTATATACCTGTATGGGAAATATTCTTATAAAATAATCATTTCTACTGAGTGTAAGTTTCTCTTGATACTTGATGGTTTGACTCCACTTCCTATCTGATTACTGGCCTGTCGGGAACTATAAACTGTCGGGAACTTAAACTGTCGGGAAATAGAAACTGTCGGGAACTGGAAACTGTCGGGGATTATAAACTGTCGGGAACTAGAAACTGTTGGCAACTATAAACTGTAAGGAACTAGAAACTTTCGGGAACTTTCACGAAATAAACTTTCTCGAAACAATTAAGTAAATTAAACGAGTCTTAAAACACAGCTGAAGTTTGGGTTGGTGCAAAGACAATTACAGTTACTCAGGTGAAAGTTTGTACTGTACCTGTATATGTGTGTGTGATCGACCCATCAGTAGCCACCAGCTGTTTTGAGAGAGAGAGAGAGAGAGAGAGAGAGAGAGAGAGAGAGAGAGAGAGAGAGAGAGAGAGAGATCATATGAAACAGTTACCAAACGAGGAAAGAATTAAGTAGTTATTGCTTGAGTTATAACGACTACTGTATGTAGATCAAGGACGACTCTGGTGGCAGTTCAGTTCTGGTAACAATGTAACCTGACGTAGGTAGTAAGGGTGATGGGGGTAGTTTTAGGAGGGGAGGAGGTGGGTAGACTGCCTTCTGCTCGAACCGGTACCTCGATTCATGTCTCGTTTCATGCGCAGTTAATACGAGGTGAATATAACAGTATAATTATGTTACCTTTACACTCTATATTCTAAGATTCTAATATCATCACTATATTGACCTTGTTCATCACATTGTACCTATATCCAAACTAAACTTATTCTGCAAAAATGAGAGTTCAGTCGTATACTTACTGGACTATGGTTTGGATGGGTGTGTCGGGGAGAGGCCTTTCCTAGTTGAGGAGGTCAGTAACGTCCAGGGAGGCAGTATGGTCTTGAACATCGCGAGGTCGCATAAAGATTTTATAACCTATTGGTGTCTGGGATATCTGTACGAATGACTCATACAGTCACATATATGTCGGAGAGTAGCACCCTTTCGAACTCTGTCTAATCTGTCCGTCTGTCTCTTTCTTTATGTATCGGACGTAACACGAGACAGACACAGGCAGAAGGACGGAGAGAGTGAATCACATGAATCTTATTACAGTACATGGCCCATTACATTACAGGCACATATCCGTCCTCAGTGTGTAGTCCAACAGAGAGCACATAAGGCTATTGGACGTGATGATAGAACTGAAACTATCAGCAAACGAAGAGCCGTCATAGGTTTGGGGGACGCTAGCATGTCTTTGAAAGCCATCGTCCGGGAAATAGGAGTCAACATTGTGAAGAAGTAGATGCAGCGGTGGGATGGAGAAGGCACTCTCACTACCCGTCCGATATAGAAGTGGTCGTCCATGAATTGTAACTCATGAAGACGATCAACGAATTATGGAAGCTGTGTTGGAGAGGCCACACACATCAGCTGTTGATCTCCCTTAGGAATTACGAGGTCTTCCTGAAACGACGAGGCGGCTCCTGAATGAGGCAGGAATAAAGTGTTCGATCCTGGCTAGGAAATAGTTTTTAAGTCAGACAAATAGCGATGCAAAACTTGAATTCGCCAGTCGGTATAGCCAGGATGTTTGTGGTCAACAGTTTTGGAACACTGTAATTATGTTGTTGTATTCACCTTGTATTAGTACTGCATGAAAAGAGACAGGACTCGAGGCAGTAGCAGGTAGCTATGACAAAAATAATTAATGGTGAAACAATAGTCGTTTTCTATGATTGTTCTTGGACCCGTTTTGTAGGAGTATTTTATTAATTTTAATTTAGTTTACCCAATGCGGTCTCTATACTTTCTATCTGAGTAGTACACTTCCTCATTAACAGGTGGCGCTGTATTAAAATTTGGGGACCTTTCTGAGAATAATGGGGAGGTGTGTCAGTTGAGCTTCCTTATTAGATATTTCTTGCTTATACCAGAACTGATGGACCACGAGTTCCAAGACCTTTCAGGGGGTGGGGAGCTGTGGTTGTAGTTGAGTTGCCAATTCATTAATTAATTAATATAATTTTCTTTATTATTTAAGCAAATATACGAACATTTGGAAACTTCTCGTGACCTTAAATAACAATGGATAGTTTATTATTATAAAAATTCTACCTTTGGTTTCTTTAATAATTATCCTGACAGTGAAACAGCCGAAAACAGATCCACTAATTAAAACCATCTTTACATACAGCCTTCAGCTACCAAGTATTGCCAGGTAAAATTACTATAGCCATTGCCACGGCTATAGTAATAAAGAAATAGAAAAGCGTGATTTACTAAAAAAAATTGCAAGTCTTGTTTATATTTACGCCATTTCGTATGCAAGAAATAGCTAGTTTTTTGGGGGGTTTCAATCTAGCGGTTTTTTGATGCCTGTCTAGCGGGATTTAATATACATGACCGTCTCCAGGTCCCGGCAGTTGTTGCTCACCTGTCATCGGGGTAACTTGTCGGAGGTAAGAAACTGGTCTATTTTTCTTATTTTTTGTTTGTTTATCGCTGATTTCTCATATGTATTGCCGATTTACGTGTTTTTAAATATCGTCGAGTCGTATAATTATGTTGAGACAAAGTGAACCGCCTTGTTTACGTAGTGTCATTAGCATCGTTATAAAGTGTTAACGAGTAGTTACGTTGACATCATGACATTAGGCTCGAGGTTAGTTTTAATACACACTGTTTTTGCTCTCTGGTTTTGATACGATCTTTTATTTTCAAGCCTCTGTCATCTTTTTTGAAAATATCAACAAGAAAATTTGTATAAAAAAGTTATTATTGCAGTTGTTGTTTCGTATTATATTATACTACGTACTATAGTAAACAAACGGCCTTGAGTTGCCAGCTGTCTCCAGCAGTGTTCGACGAATCTTGAACAAGACTGTACGTGTTATTGTTCTTTGCCTTCTGATAGCTTAATATTCTGACGCTGTTGTGATACTTAATGTTTACTTCAAAACACGTGCAAGTGTCACTTAGAAACACTTACTTGTTCCCTTGTGTGACTCAGCCAGCATGTGCTATTTCACTTAGCAACAAATTTACGTCACTCTTAGCCACACGTGCAACAAAACTCACCTCGCAACACATGTACTGTGACGTTGATAGGCTTAGTACAGGTGGAAGTGCAGCTGTAGTTGCCTGAATCCGAGGCGGTGGCGTGTGGGCGTGCGAGGACGAGGCGGGAGATGGGCGTCGTCCCGTTGCTCTGGGCCAGGTCGTAGGTGTTGGATTCTGGGGTGAGGACCGCCTGGCCGCCCCTCGTCCAGGAGAGCAGTGCCGGAGGAGGACAACCTTCCACCTGACACACCACCTCCAGGCGACTCCCGCTCTGCACGTACACCTCCCGCCCTGGCAACACGCTCGCTATTGCCTCTGTCAACCAAATAAAAAATATGACAGTGAAAGGTGTGTTAGAACAGGACTAGTATGCCAGGTTAAGAAATGTGTTAAGACCAATCACGTTATGACAGAAAAGAACAAGTGGTATGACTAGGAAACATTTGAAAAATATTGTACATAAATATCACACAATACTGAAAATACTTTGTTTTAAATACCAGTGTAAAGTAGTGACACACACACACACACTCAGAGCGTATTTTTTTATTTTTTTTATTTTTTTATTTTATTTTTTTTACAAACGGGGATTAGCCCACCCTGGCACAGGTCACTGACCCACATCGGGGCCTGGGGAGCGAAAATGTAAATAATAATAATAATGATAATAAAAAAAAGAAAAAAAAAGATCAATAGTGAGAAACAATTGAGACCCCGCAATTGTGTGTAAATGAGGCAGAAAGTCAGATCAGCAACCTGGGACTTGGTCACAATTTTCGTGATGCCATATAGCAGCAGGGTCTACCATTAGACAACACATTATGCTTCCAATACCTTCCCAGGCGGTAGTACCTCCCTGTTTGGTTGTAAACAAAACTCCAGAAAACACTCCCATGAGACTTCTTGTACCAATCAGAACAACAAAGTGAAATCAGAGGTACCAGCGCCCCCTACCCTGATTACAAGACGAGACAAGTACACTTTACCTCCGCAATATACCACTCAAGACTTTTCTCATGCTCTCTCAGTTCTCTTCAACATATGTAAATTTAACCTTGATGAAGCTAAATGAAATCATGGACGTCTTTGAGGCAAGGAATGTTAATAGTTTATCAAATCACTGACTTGGTTGTAAATTATTCAGAAACATTGTCTGGAGAACAGTGGAGACAAGAAATATAGAGAAGGAAGTAAAATAGAAGCAGAAGGGGAGGAGAGTGAGCACTGATGTAATTGATAAAGAGGAGGAGGAAATTAGTGAAAATGAGGACAATGTTTAAATAAATAAAACGAAGGTAACGAACATTGAAAATGTTTTTATATGTGTACCTGTGTATGAAGGTATATGGGTATCAATAAATGTTTAATATAAAGTCCGTTTTTCTACAGGTGATCAACGTGTCTCAGACCCCCTGTGCTTGACTCTCCAAGAACCTCTCACCACACACCACTGACCTCGTAGATTTAGCCACAACACTACCTCCAGTCTCCTCCTCACCACCACCATCACCACCGCCGTCACCACCTCCACCACTATCGCTCGGTGTCTCAGTGGCAGTCTGACCCAAGAAGTAAGCGACTTTCTTGTTGAATATCTGTATGTGTGCGTCTTACAGTGGGGGATCTTTAATATGCTTTACCTGCCTCGTAGCATCTAAGTTAGAGTTAGTGATATTTGGTAACTCGTTTTTATTTACCACTACTATTTTTTTTTTGAACCGTAGAAACATCAAAACACAATCTCACAGTATCCATTTTTTTATTCGTTTTTCTTGTGGGATTTTGTATTAACAGAAGACTCCATTAATTGATCAATGGTTTTGGATTTGTTTCACATTAATTATATTTTTCGTCTCCATAAAAAGCTAAAAGCATAAACTCCCACTATTATAATATTCTATGTTATATTAATTCGATATAAACATGAATACAGTATTAATCAATTAATTAGGGACAGCATTAATTAATTCGTTTCTGGTATATATAAACATTTTAAGGTGAATAAGTCTTACGTGACCTTCTTATAACCTCCCCCCTCCTCACCTGCCGTCTTCCCCCCTCCCCCCTCACCTGCCGTCTTCCCCCCTTCCCCCCTCACCTGCTGTCTCTCCCCTTCCCTCACCTCCTCCCTCACCTGCCGCCTCCCCCCTCAGCTGCCGCCTCCCTCCCCTTCCCCTCCTGCCGCCCCCCCTCACCTGCCCCCCTCACCCCCCCCCTCACCTGCCGCCCCCTCACCTGCCGCTTCCCCTCACCTGCCGCCTCTCACTTGCCGCCTCCCCCCTCCCCTGCCGCTCACCTGTACAGTATGAGATCTGCCGCCTTTAACCATTATAATTATGACGTTCAACCATTTATACTCTACCTGCTTAAAAAATACCCATTTCCTGCTCTTCCTCCTCTCCCTTCACCACATAGCCTCCTCTGCCCGTCTCCCATACCCTATCACCATTCCTTTGTATTCAGTATTTTCATTTTTTTGTCACATTTCTTCCGTTCCTTTCATCTATCTCTTGTCTGTTTCTTCTTTTTCGCGGTTAAAATATTTCACAGCCCCTTTCATCCTCTCCCTCCCTCCACCATATTTTTCCCAGTCTTCCTCCGTCTATCATCGTTCCCTTTTATGTACGTATTTTCACCTCGTCTTCTCTTTGGTTTCCCTCTGCCTGACTAGTCAACCTTCTCTGGTCTACCTTTCCGCTGATACGTCACTGCCTCGTATTTCTGTATTCCCAGGCTCATTTTTACCCTCCTACACCAAGACCCTTCTACCATCAGCTCACATTTCATGGTAAAAGTTGTGGTGAGGGACAAGAGCGTGGTGGTGGGCGCCTGGCATTAAGTGTGTGGTAGTCCCCTAGTCTCAAAACACTTACCCTGGACAGTAAGATTGATGGTGTTAATATAGAGGCGTCTCCTGTCTTCCCACACATGGCTCAGTCTAGACGGTAGGGATTTAAACGGTAGATTTACTTTTTTTTACCTCACATTAAATAGTAGAACTGACGGTAGCGCCTCGCCTTCACCTCACACACACTCACCTTGGACTGAAAGGTTGACGTTGAGGCTGATTGGTGGCGTGGTGGACACCTGGCACAGGTAGACACCAGCGTCACTTTTCCTGACGTAGTGTATCTTCAGGATCCACTGCTGTCCTCCTGACGGGTTCACCGCCACGAAGCGTGTGTCGGTCGTGTAGGTAGCGGAGCTGGAGGTGAGGAGCCGGATGTCCCTCCCTCGCACCCACGACACCTGCGGTAGAGACAGAGAGTTATATTGTATCCACAGCACTGTGTGTTCCCGGCACTCGGAATACCTGTGAGCAGACCTGTTGGTTCATAACACCTGTTGGAATGGGTAGTGATTAAACCTTCCTGTTTCCCAATAAAAAGAAAAAAAACCCTGGGAAATAGACATCACGTGAGGAACATGGGGGGGAGGAAACAATTGGTACACATATTGTACACAGGTAACGTGGGTTTCCGTAAATTATTTTATTGGTTTATTAACCGACTTGTGACTTGGCTTCAGTCTCGTGGGGAACTAGTTATGCAACTCCTCGCTCGTATCATGCGGACTCCTGCCAGCAACTTGTAATATCAAGCTAAACACAATTAGACAAAGCCAATCACTCACTGTTGTGTAATAACTGGTTCGGTGCTCATTACCAGCGGCCTCATTTGTCGAGTTGTGTATCCATATGGGAACGGGATTTTGCTCCACCCTGTGTGTGTGAACAATAAACTCCCATCACATCCTTTTGCATCTATCAATATAAGGCTGACAATTATCACGTGTTTACCATAGAAGTACAGTCACTCATAAAAGAAACGCCCCCTCCCCCCTACCCCGGGCGAGAGCTCTTGTAACTAGTGGCAGTTCAGATCTGGTAACAATGTACAATGACAGACAAAAGTCGTGTCGTGAAATTTGGTGAAAACATATGCGGAAGGACTAAAACTTTTGGTTCGCTCTGCCTTGTGGTGGGGGGCGGGGCTCTCATGTGTCACGAGTTATTATTAATCTTCGGATAAAACCGCGACACGACTTTTGTCTTTGATTGTACACCTGATGTATGAGGGAGGGTAATGGGGTGCTGTTGGGGGTGATGGGGTGGTGTTGGGGGTGATGGGGTGCTGTTGGGTGATGGGGTGGTGTTTGGGTGATGGGGTGCTGTTGGGTGATGGGGTGCTGTTGGGTGATGGGGTGGTGTTTGGGTGAAGGTGGTGGATCACAGCCTCGATTCATGTCTCGTTTCATGCACAACTAATAGGAGGTTAATGTAAAAGCATAATTGTTACCCTTACACTCTATATTCTAAGATCCTAATATCATCCCTATATTGACCTTGTTCATCACATTGTACCTATATCCAAACTAAACTTATTCTGCAAAAAGGAGAGCTCAGTCGTATACTTACTGGACTATGGTTTGGATGGGTGTGTTGAGGAGAGGCCTTTCCTAGTTGAGAAGGTCAATAACGTCCAGGCAGTGTGGTCTCGAACATCGCGAGGTAAGAATACCCTGTTTTAACCAGCTAGCATTTGTTGTGTATGAAACGAGACATAACCTGAGGTAGTGGTTCGTGCAGATGGAAGAGACCCACCACCACCACCCCTCACACCCCCCTCCTTATGTCTTACACTGTTACCAGAACAGATAAGCCACGAAGTCCAAGACCGTTTCTTTTATGGGTGACTGTACCATAACGCAAACGGGGGGGGGAGCGAAAATCTTGATGAAAAGTATCGTGTTACGTGCCTGATTGAGGAGAAGCCTTGCACCTGTTAAATGCTCTTAGAAACATCGAGGTACTAGAAATGTGTAATACAAGCGTAAATGTTTGTCACGTTCCTCATTCCACCGAGACACATCACACATACAAAGTAATATAGGACCGAAGCGTCACCTGGGAAACACCTGACACACAAGAGATTAGTGACGGTGGTGGATGTACCGCTTCACTCACTCGGTTATAATGTTCCCTGGTAATGATCCTGTAAAAGTAAATGAGGTGGGCGAGCAGGTTTATGACACACACACACACACACACACACAGTCACACACACACACACACACACACACACAGTCACACACACACACGCACACACACACACACACACACACACACACACACACACTCACTCTTTCTATCTGTTCCTCTTTCCATCATTACTCCAACATCATTCAGTCGTCTCTTTGGCCTTTTTTTTACAGCCACCACACACTGTAAAAGTCCCTCCCACCCTCCCTTCGTGGTAGAGTCGCCTGATGTCGTATTTCATCGGTCACATCTCCAGGAATAACCAGATCATAATTCGGTCTGTGGTATATCAGGCTCAGGAAAATTAGTCTGTGTTAGGTTACTGTAGGTTAGAGAACATAGTCATTATATCTGAACCGATTTTCAAAATTGTATAATAGTGACCGTTTATATTCTACTTGAGCTCATTGTGTATCACTTGTAAACCTCGTTCCAAAAAGTTTCTAATAATAACAGTTTATTTTCGTTCCCTAGAAAATATTACAAATGATTAAGCTTGATAAGGAAATGAGAAAAAGTTGGTCTGATTTAATGGTTCACCTTATGCTAGCCAGACAACCAAATAACACACAGGCATTGATACACACTCATACTCACTCATACACACTCATACACACTCATGCATACTCATACACACTCATGCATACTCATACATACCCATACACACTCATACTCACTCATACACTCATGCATACTCATACACACTCATACTCACTCATACACTCATACACACTCATACACTCATACACTCATACTCACTCATACACACTCATACTCATTCATACACACTCATACTCACTCATACACACTCATACTCACTCATATATACCCATACACACTCATACATACTCATACATACCCATACATATTGGCCATATCTCAGAGCAAGACATTCAAGGGGATACATCCATCTGTATTTTGAGACACTTGAGTTGAGAGAAAAAACGAGATCTAAACAGGATAACTAATTTTGAAAGTTGGTGGCGGTGTTTACCTCACGACAAGTTAACTATGAAAGAAGTGTAATGTATGGCAAGAGGGCGCAGGGCGAGGTTGTCATGCTTTATTATTTTCTGTTTGGTTGCTCTCTCTCTCTCTCTCTCTCTCTCTCTCTGTGCTGCTACCACTACTGTTGCTCTAACGCTAAAAACAAATTAGATATATGTAATTCAAGATTTAGATGCACGTGTATGTTTGACTCGGCTGATTAAGTGCAAGAACTGGTGGAAGGTAAAAGTTTGTCCCGTTAGTTGATTGTCTTCACTGCCCCAACTGGTTTGCATTCAAAGATAAGTTAACTAAGGGTGCCCTCAGCTCGAACCAGCGACCCCAAGGAGAGGAAGAGAGCGCCGTATCCACTCAGCCACTGAATTTAAAAGATGAAGCAAGGTGGTTTTGGTCGGGGAATCGGAATCAGACGGTGAGATATGGTTTGATGAGAAGAAATTGGAAAGCTTTTGGAACATCAAATATTAGGGAAGTGGTCTTAATAAGGATAGAGAAATGGGGACTGAGATGTTGAAGTGCTCCATCACAGGTGAACAAATTAATGATGCTTTGAAGAGAGAGAGATGAGTGTGTCTACCGGAGTGGTGGTGTCCCTCCTCCTTGTACATATTTCTAAATTTGACTAAACTAGATTCTCTCTCTCTCTCTCTCTCTCTCTCTCTCTCTCTCTCTCTCTCTTACCGTGTAGTTGTGGAGGTTCCTAATGCCACAAGGCAACAGGGCTGTGGCTCCGGCTACGACACTGACGGAATTTGAAGAGGAGTTAAGGAAGGCAGGGCCGCTGAGGGTGGAGTACTGGATGGGCGGCGCACCTCGTAGTTCATCCGGCCACTCTGACGCGTCTGACACACAGGATAAACAAACACTTATTAGGCGGGTGAGGTTAGGTGCGTTAGTGAGATGGTTCATTGTGATATTTTCTATACCAAAAAAATTACTCTTTTGTAATTTTGACGAGACTGGCTACAAAATTACAGGATATACAGGTGTACATAAATTAGCTGACCTATTTCAAAACTTAATTACCTCGATATATTATAGATAAAACACGGCATATATGTGGAAATCTACTCAAACAAGGAAAAAAAAACAAGTTGCTGTCAAGTATAATAAAACCGATGTGTTCTATCTAAAAATTTCTGAAGTTATTAATTGTAAGAAATGGTTAAAGTACATGAGTGAATAATAAAATACACATCGTTTAACATAAAATAATAAAGAGTTAGATGTTATAGTGTGATTGACTTAATTACTGACACCAAAACAACTCTTAATGAGCTTGTTGATGAATGAGGCGTGGTAATCATGCCATAACTTTACACATAAAAGAATCGCCTATGAGCTTTTATCACCTTTTGAACTTTTATTGAATAGACTTTTGTTGATTCTCACACATTATTCCCAGAAAATATTTGTTATTTTAAGACGTGAATAATTAATTAATGGTACCTAAGTGTAAGCTCGTATGATTATTATTCATTTTAATATTGTATGAGATTTGTATTTTTAGGTGGAATATAATAATGCCAGCTATCACTGTTCAATGTAGGATCTATTTAAATAAACACACTCGTAATTTTCCCCATAACGAGCATCACAAACGAGCCAGTATGATCAGAGTAGCCACCATCACATAGCAACATACTATTTATTTATCACTACCACACACACACTAGTTTATCACACTAGTAACTGATTGGTGTATCGATTGTACAGTGACTAATAACAGTCCAGCGTACATTAGTCAGCTTTATATCTCGTCAATGTTTTTGTCATGTGGGTGTGTGTGGGTGTGGGTGTGTGTGTGTGGGTGGGTGGTGGACCAGAAGCCACTTTGCTCAAGACGCTCTCACCTGCGACACGTAATTAATCCCTTCTCACCTGGGCAATAAATCACCTGATACTTTTTTTCCAAGGTATTTTCGGATAAATACTCAAGGGGTGTGAAGCCATTAAAACACCTGAATTACCTGAAGATTATCTCCCCAATATATTTCACCTGATAATTAAACACCCTGACGTTAACTTAACCTAAACCCAGGTCGCGTTAGGGTGTCTAATCATCAGGTGAAATAAACTGAGGTCTAATCATCAGGTGATCCCAACACTTGGTCGACATGTCAGTGAACAGGGAAGCAATTACCTATGCCACGCGATTTAATATTGTTGACAGTTTACCTCTGAATCAACTTGGCCATAAATTCCAGCTCAAACCCTCAGTAGTATCAAACTGTCTAGGGGAATTAATCACCCCAGTGACTTATGCCTTATCGTCTCTATGGTCTTGAGGGTTAATGATTGATGGAGGTCATATCAGGAGTTCAAAGTGTACATGAGTTTTTATTCTTTACGTGTGTGTGTGTGTGTGTGTGTGTGTGTGTGTCAGGTCTCTAACTGCTTCTGTTTTGGAGCTATGAGGGAACGCGCGCGCACACACACACACACACACACACACACGTAAAGAAACACATACTTGCACACCAGGCACAAACTCACACACACCCTCTCATAAACACACATGTACGTATATACACACACCACATCTATACACATTTAATACACTTCCCCACCAACTCTCATCTCCCTCTCCCCACCACACCTCTTTCTTCCCCTCCCCACCATACCTCTTCCTCCCCACCACACCTCCTCCCCACCACACCTCCTCCTCCCCACCACAATCCTCCCCACCACACTCTTCCTCCCCCACACCTCTTCCTCCCCACCCCCTCTTCCTCCCCACCACACTCTTCCTCCCCACCACCCCTCTTCCTCCCCACCACACCTCTTCCCCTCCCCACCACACCCCCCTCTTCCTCCCCACACCTCTTCCTCCCCACCACACCTCTTCCTCCCCACCACCTCCTTCCTCCCCACCACCTCTTCCCTCCCCACCACACCTCTTCCTCCCCACCACACCTCTTCCTCCCCACCACACCCCTTCCTCTCCCCACCACACCACCTCCCTCTCCCTCCCCCACCACCCTTCCTCCCCACCACACCTCTTCCTCCCCACCACACCTCTTCCTCCCCACCACACCTCCCTCCTCCCCACCACACCTCCTTCCTCCCCACACCTCCTCCTCCCCACCACACCTCCCCCCCACCACACCTCTTCCTCCCCCACCACACCTCCTCCTCCCCACCACACCTCCCCCCCCACCACACCTCTTCCTCCCCACCACACCTCTTCCTCCCCACCACACCTCTCCTCCCCACCACACCTCTTCCTCCCCACCACCTCTTCCTCCCACCTCTCTTCCTCCCCACCACACCTCTTCCTCCCCACCACACCTCCCCACCACACCTCCTCCCCCTTTCCACCAGACCTCTTCGCCCCTCCCCCATCAACACCATCACAAACACTCCCTAATTCTCAGGTATAAAATCACAAGGCAGAGTAGAGGTTGGGTGTAGACTCAGTGGTTGGTTTTATCGCAACCAATCTTTGTTCGTGCATTATAATCACAGAGCAGGTCGTGGGGGGTGAGGGAGGGGCAGGGAGACGAGGCAAAAGATTAAGGGAGGAAAGAGGGAGAAGGGAGGGTACCAGAAAATGGACATAGGAACAGCTGAAGATAGTGCAGGAGATGGGTAGGAGGGAAGGGGGGAAGGAGAAGAAGGAAAGGCAGAATGAAAGAGGGAGGGGAAGGGTAGGGTAGGGGGAGGGGAAAGGAGGAAGAAGGAAGGGGTAAGAATGAGAGAAGCAGAGAGAAGAATATTGATGTTGACGTCAGACTATTGCACTAAAACACGTTATCAGTAATAAATGTGCAACTGCGTAGAGACTTATGTTGCAGAGTGTTCCAGCATAAGATTCAAGTGATACATTACCCAACACCAGAGTCAGAGTTAATACCTGTCATGTCCAGTGGTGTGTGTAGGCAGCTTTATAAACATACTTATTTTATCTCTTTCATGGTAAACACGTAGACAGTGGAGTAAGGAAGCCCTCGATTGTATCCCAAGAGATTAGAATAAACCCAGAAAATGTGAGGCCCAATGACGATGATAATGACGATGAGACGGATGTTGGTCCCCTTCATGATGTATTGATGAGTATTAATTTTATTCTGATATTTTTTTTCAATGCCTTCAGTGATTTGAGATATACACACCTGAAGTTTAACTCCTAAGGTTTATAATCCCGACAGTCGTTTAATATTACGAAGGTATTAGCTGGGTTAATTGAGCTTTAATAAGACCAGGTGAAGTTACAGGTAGAAAGAGGGAGGTGAAGATTCTTGTATTGTGTGAAAGTGAGGAAAATTATACACTTGAGGTGATTGAGATGCATTGACATACGCTGTACCCCCCTCACTCCCCCCTCACCCCCTCACCCCCCCTTCCACCCCCCTACTTTCAGAGCCCGTACCCCTGCTCTTTCAACCTGTATACCCCCTCCTCACACTCAAGCCACAGGCGACTATAAAAGGGAAATAATACCAGAATGTGTCGAGAGGGGCGCCGCAACACAGCCTATATCCCGCCTCAGCCACCGTCGATCAATAACATCAAAGACTACTTGTGATTGTATCCAGACATGCTAGTGATTGTCCGAGCGCTGGAGCATTGCTTTTTCACTACTGTCCTCAATGAAAAAGCGTTATATCGTTTATAGGTTTTTATTAGTGTCAGTCTAGTGTTATGATTAATCTTCGTACGTGGTCAGTTAAAGACGTGGTTTGTTGATGCGTCGTAGTAATATTTAACTATATAACGTGAGCGTATATTGACCAACGTAAAATTTATCCCATTTAAGGAACGTTTATACTCGTGCTTTTTACGGTACTTTGATTATTTTAAAAAAATCGCACCTGGTTCATTTCTCAATCATCGAGGAAAAAAATAAATCATATTGACGCTAATCTTCCCAGACTATCGAGAAAGTTTCTAAATTGTGGGTCAGAATTTATTGTATATTTCACAGATTATCTGATGAAAGTTTCAGTTTATATTCTACTCATTGTCTTAGTGAAATCGAAAGTTCTTAATGGGTCTTTTTCCTTCACCTGTACACTCATTAACCACAGTTTCTAAGAAGGTGAAGATGTGGAAATTATAACTCTATTGGTCATATCAGGTTTATGCTTCAGATGATTAAACCAAAAACCATTCAGGAGTTCGGGGAATAAATCTAAAGTACAATTATATCACAACACCATACTTAAGTGATGCAATTCTGTCTATAGTGAACTAGACAAGAACAACATAATTTAAGATTGAAAGATATTGACCATTGAAATCAAGAATAGAATATATATGTATACCCTCAAATAGTGACCAAAGATATAGTGTTAAATGAACTAATACACAGAGACCCTGATGACTATTTTGTATACGTATCTATGTATATTTATTTTTTTTAAGTATGACGTTCATGTATTGTTAAACACACATGGGAAATTTTTACTCTCTCATTTGGTGCTAATTGATTATATACAAACATCGCTGAAAAGTAGATTTTACATATTGTTTGGCAGCGTAAGAGTAACGTTCACACGGTTTCTCATGCTGCCTCCACGTAATACCTAACAGAGGATTGATTACCCACACACGTCTACAAGGACAGTGAAATACTCCAGCTTGTTCTCTAACATCTAATATGAACTTCAGTATAAGTCTACACACGAATGCTTCCTCCCGCATTAAATATTGCTCATAAGTAACACCTTTGTCATGGTATCTCAGTGGGCACGCTAGTAGTGTGGAGGGAGGGGGGGGTGTAAGAACCTGCATTCGATTAAGATAAAACATTCATGCCTCGCCACACCATATAACTCCTCCCTCCTTCCCTCCTCCTCCCCTCCCACCTCCTCCCTCCTCCCTCCTCCCTCCCCTCCCCTCCCCACTCCCCACCCCTCCCCTCCCCATGTGTCAGGTGCCACGCCCATTATTGTCCGAGTCATTGTCACTCTTCACGCTCATGTAAGGCTGATGTGCTGGCTGGCGGCTCTACACTGAATAATTAACTCGTACTTGTATCATCACACACACACACACACACACACACACACACTAGCAGCGTGAAATTCGACCTAGCTTTGTGCGTCCGCTGACTGATTGCGCTATGGGGTTATTTTCGTGATGTGAGTTTTGCAATTGTAAAAAAATAAATAAATCATCCGTAATTGCACTTTTTTTTTCTTCATTTGTAAGTAATTTTTGGGGCCATACTTAAATCAAACCTGACAAACAGCAACGTTCCTGGTAAAAAAAGCACATACGCAGCACATATATACACACACACACACGCACACACACACAGCACACACACACACATGCACACACACACGCAGCACACGAGCACACATACACACACACATACACAGAGCACACACACACACACACACACATGAGCAGCACACACACACATGCACACACACACGCACATGCACACACACACATGCACACACATATATATATATATATATATATAAGAGAGAGAGAGAGAGAGATCTTGGCCATGCACCGGGTTAAACTAAAAACATTAATATATAACTTTTTTCACGGCTTCCAACTTCACACTTTGATATTAAATGGATATTGTATGTTTCTAGAAATATTTCACGGTGACTTAAGATTTCATTTCACTTGTACCTGCGGCATAAAAACACACGGGTGATATTTTACCGGGAAATTGAATCCCTGGGAGATCTGGTCACGTTTGGGATAGAGGTGAATAAACGAGGATGTTGTGTTGTGGAAAACTCTTCGTGGTCGGTTACTAGACAAACACAAACACTGCAGTTAACGTGAGATGTCGGGGGGTCAAAAAAATAATAGAGACACAGAGAGAGAGAGAGGGAGAAAAGATAAATGAACACAGAAGGAGAGACACGGAGAAAGAGAGAGTGGGAGAAAAGAGAGAGAAACACGAATAATTATTCGTAAAAGGTAGAGAGAAAGTATAAGTGAGAAACAAAGATAAAGATAAAGTGATGAAGTAAGGTAAAGAGGGGGAAAGAGAATAACAATGGAAATAAAAGAATTTAAATAGAGAAATACAAAGGGAGAAATGGGAGGGGAATAGACAAGGCGAGAGAGAGAGAGAGAGAGAGAGAGAGAGAGAGAGAGAGAGAGAGAGAGAGAGAGAGAGGAACTAATAACCTGACATACACAAGAGATAGGACACTGTATTCCATGATGACTTAGGACAAAACTCATCACCACTTTATACCACGACAATAACTTATATACGAGTCAAGTCTCTCTGGCTGAGTAGGTGGGCAGGAACGAACCTTAAATACTGAAATGATGAGTATCGGGAAATAGTATAATATGCTTCCGTTGTAACCTGTATGTATGTATGTATGTATGTGTGTGTGTCCTGAGGTTTTTAATAGAGGTATCTGACTGGTGGTTCACTCTTGTAGTAGACGACGCAAAAGATAATAATTTTCCCCAAGTTTTAATTATATGATCGTTTGTGTCCAAAGTTTACCTCGCGTTAGTCTTCTATTTTAGGGAAAGTCTCCACCAGATTCTTCCCTAATCTCTTGAATATCTCCCCCAGTCGATCAGGAACTGGAGCGTCTGCCAGGGGATTTATTTTTTTTCCTGTCCGGGTTTTTTTTTTGCGTGTTAATTCCCCCGTCTTGTGAGTTAGTCAACACCGCAGGAACATGAGGAGGAGGAAGGAACTAAACTTTTCTTCTCTGTAAATTCATGCTTTGGTGGCGACACGGACTTCTTCCTTGTGTGTGTGTGTGTGTGTATGTGTGTCTGTGTGTGTGTCTGTGTGTGTGTGTTCCTGTGTGTGTTTATGCGTTTGTGTTTGTATGTATGCGTATGTATATCCGTGTGTGTGCACGTTAATAACTTAGGGGAAAGACTATTCCACAACAAATAACACTCGAATGGCAAACATCAATATATACAATTTATGACCTAAAATAATACAAAAACTAATACTCAATCATATCACAGGGACATATTTTACTCGAAATTATCTATCAAAAGCTAGAAATTATTCACCAAAACCTCGAAATTATCCGCCCAAACCTCGAAATTATCCGCCCAAACCTCGAAATTATCCGCCCAAACCTCGAAATTATCCACCAAAAGTTCGAAATTATCCGCCAAAACCTCGAAATTATCCGCCCAAACCTCGAAATTATCCGCCAAAACCTCGAAATTATCCGCCAAAACCTTGAAATTATCCACCAAAACCTTGAAATTATCCGCCAAAACCTTGAAATTATCTACCAAAAGTTCGAAATTCTTCACCAAAGGCTCAGAAATATTCACCAAAGAGTAACTGTATTACCAATATTCCTCCGCCACCATCAAATTCCTGACAATAAAATAAGTAAAAAATATCTCTGGATTGGTAGTAAATTCAGCTATAAGTGGGAGGACCTCAAGAGACAGCGAATAATATACTTGTCATTGGACCTTACGAGCCACGCTGTCTACGTCTGGTTTAGGTAGATAATAGCCACTTCGTCAGGAGTTACGTGACGGAGAGCATTTTGGCCGAGTGGTAAATAAAAGAAAAAAAAGGTGGAGCTATGTAGACTAAGACTCCCGGATATTTGTGTGGAAATATTCAACGACTTGGAGGAGGGTGTAGGGGGAACGCTGATAGTAATGTCGTTTATGTAATGGAGCGAAGATATTGATGGGGGAGAGACGGTATGGTTGGCAGGTGGGTTAGCAGTTTATTCGTGTGTTTGTTTTTTAATACTTTCTTTCATCTAGTCATTCTTTTCTTATTAAACATCGAGTATTAAGCTTTTAAAACGTTATTTTCTGTACAAATTCATCACGGACTAGAAGCTTTTATTTTATTTTAATTACCTGGAGTATCTATTTACCTTTTATTACACATAAATGTTTGAAGAAGTGGAAGCAAAATTTAGTAACATTCTAGGAGTCTCTTAAAAACGTGATTTATTGCCCATTAGATTCAGTTTTTCCATTACCATTAAGTTGAGGCTTGACTGACTCTCCTGAAGACTTAGAGAGGGAAGGTTCTTACCACATATTATCCTTCCTGTGTCCCCGCTGTCAAGGTCCGATCATTTATTCACGAAAAAAAGTTATACGTTGTATCTCTGAGCCGTTTGTCTTACCTACTGGCAGTCCACTGAATTTTTTATGGGGTTTGGCCTCTGGTAGACTGAAGGTATGTGTGGCCAGGGTGGGTATGGCGATTATGGTTATCTAGGGCCACACTGGAAGTACGTATGGCCAAGGTAGTTATTACACACTTAAAGTTAGTTAGGGGCCACATTGGAGGTATGTATGGCCAGGATAGCTAATATACTTACCGTTGGCCAGGGCCACACTGGATATAAGTATGGCTGTTGTGACTATGGCAGTGAAGGTGATGGCCATGGCTGCTCAGGTGTTCTCCTCCACCTCTGAAAGGGACAAAATAAACTCGTTAACACCTGTGAACCTCTACTGACGTATCTACTGGTGGGAATTATGTAAACAAACATTTTATACATGTAACCGCCCTGGTGATCTGGCCTGGGGGGAATATCTCGCTAATGATGGTGTTTGCTGGTGGTAGTTAAGTATGTAAATAAATCTGTGTTATTAGATTATCGTGTTGGACCCCCGGCCTGGGAAGGTTGTACTTGACAGAATTCAAAGCATAATTTGAGAATATTTTCACACAATATATATTTTTGATGCGGGTTTTTTTTTTACCTAGAAATCCAAGTTGGAAAGATTTACTGTTTGCAGATGTTTGCCGTTTCATTCTGTTAAGACAAATAAATAAAATCGTTTCACACTGCAATAACACACTAGGGAATAAAATGTTTGTCTCGAGTCAATGATAGAAAACCCAATACTGGTGGTGGCGGCCTTCAACATGGTACATCGACCCTCTGAGTGGACGGGCGCTGGTGGTGCTGGTGGTGGTGGTGTTGACTATTGGAGCTCCTTGATACATGGTGTGTCGTGAGGCGAGGTGGAGCGCCTCTCTCTCTCTCTCACTTTCTCTCTCTCTCATGCAAAGAACACAATAAATAGAGAAGGAAAAGAAAGAGAGAGAGAGAGAGAGAGAGAGAGAGAGAAGGAAAAGAAAGAAAGAGAGAGAGAGAGAGAGAGAGAGAAGGGGGTAATGACCATCACTAATTTACTCACTACCTGTAATTACACACTGTAGTAATTTCCAATGTTATGTACGTCTTCTGAAAATAGATCTTAGTGATTTATAAATAACACATGGCCCTCAATATGAGATTCCAACCCAGGTCCTGTCCATGAGGAAGCGAAGACAAAGTACCTTTAAGCCATACCCTGGTTTTGTCTTGCTGTTTGGTGCTGCTTGTCCGCCTGTCTGGTTCTTGAATCGTAGAAATAATATTGGTTGGAATGTAATCAAACTTTAAACAAAAATCTAAACCTTTGTATTAATAGCTCAGATCATCTTGTTTTAGTTCGGTTTAATTTGTGTTTCATCTTTGCTCATTATCTGGGATTTTGTTCTTATAAAATATAGGTTATCTAACAGCCTTGGCCAACGTACTCTAATGTCCTCCATACTCTGGGGTCAAAGGTTCTTCTACTTGTAATTCAGTTTTGCTAATTGCTACGAATATTTTTGTTGTCTTAAATAGCCACTTTTTTGGGGATTTTGTATTGCCTGGTTTTTGTTCACACTTGTCCGAATTTAGGTCTTGGAGTTAATTAAAGGCGTTAATAATCAAATCAGAGATGAAAAGAGTTTTTTTTTAAGTTAATAAAACATCAAAGGAAGATAAATAGGTACACACACACACACACACACACACACACACACACACACACACACACACACACACACAGCAGGAAACGGCTTTTAAGTTCAATGGGTTCTGTGTTTGGGCAAACGGTGTCTATAATTAAACAGCGACGCACGGAACACGACGCACGGAACACAACGCACGGAACACGACGCACGGAACACGACACACAATGTTACTTGCACACTTTAAGCTCACGGATCGGTATTGAAAGTGACCGAGAGAAAATTGAAGAGAACAATTGATTGAGCGATAAATAAGTAAAGAAACTGTACAATACGGAGTGAATCCTGGTGAGCAATTAACATCCTCACACCAGGGGGGAAGGGAAAGTGGAGGGGCAGGAGGAGGAAAGGAGGAAGGATTAGATAGGGGGCAGGAGGAAGGAGGAAGGATTTGATAGGGGGGCAGGAGGAAGGTGGGAAGGATTTGATAGGGGGCAGGAGGAGGAAAGGAGGGAAGGATTAGATGGGGGGCAGGAGGAGGAAAGGAGGGAAGGATTTGATAGAGGGCAGGAGGAGGAAAGGAGGGGCAGGAGGAGGAAAGGAGGGAAGATTTGATAGGGGCAGGAGGAAGGTGGGAAGGATTTGATAGGGGCAGGAGGAGGAAAGGAGGAAGGATTTGATAGGGGGGCAGGAGGAAGGTGGGAAGGATTTGATAGGGCAGGAGGAGAAAGGAGAGACGGATTTGATGGGGGCAGGAGGAAGGTGGGAAGGATTTGATGGGGGGCAGGAGGAGGAAAGGAGGAAAGGATTTGATAGGGGTGGGAGGAAGGTGGGAAGGATTTGATAGGGGGAGCAGGAGGAGGAAAGGAGGGAAGGATTTGATGAGGGGGCAGGAGGAAGGTGGGAAGGATTTGATGGGGAGGAGGAGGGAGGAAGTTAGATAGGGGCAGGGAGGAGGAAAGGAGGGAAGGATTGATAGAGGGCAGGAGGAGGAAAGGAGGGGGCAGGAGGAGGAAAGGAGGGAAGGATTTGATGGGGGCAGGAGGAAGGTGGGAATGATTTGATAGGGGGCAGGAGGAGGAAAGGAGAGAAGATTTGATAGGGGGCAGGAGGAAGGTAAAGGATTTGATAGGGGGCAGGAGGAGGAAAGGAGAGAAGGATTTGATAGGGGACGGGAAGAGGAAAGAGGAAGGATTGATAGGGGGCAGGAGGAAGATGGGAAGGATTTGATGGGGGCAGGAGGAAGGTGGGAAGGATTTGATTGAGGGCAGGAGGAGGAAAGGAGGAAGGATTTGATGGGGGGCAGGAGGAGGAAAGGAGGGAAGGATTAGATAGAGACAGGAGGAGGAAAGGAGGGAAGATAGGGGGCAGGAGGAGGGAAGGAGGGAAGGTTGATGGGGGGCAGGAGGAGGGAAGGAGGGAAGGATTTGATAGGGGCAGGAGGAAGGTGGGAAGGATTTGATAGGGGGGCAGGAGGAGGAGGGATTTGAGGAGGAGGGGGAAGGATTTGATGGGGGCAGGAGGAAGGTGGGAAGGATTTGATAGGGGGCAGGAGGAGGGAGGAGAGGGAAAGGAGGGGGGCAGGAGGAGGAGGAAGAGGGAAAGAGGGAAGGATTTGATAGGGGACAGGAGGAGGAAAGGAGGGAAGGATTTGATAGAGGGCAGGAGGAAGGTGGGAAGGATTTGATAGGGGGCAGGAGGAGGAAAGGAGGGAAGGATTAGATAGGGGGCAGGAGGAAGGTGGGAAGGAATGTAAAGGGAGGGGAGGAATAAGATGGAAGAAAAGAATAAGGAAGAGACAGAAGGAAAGCAGACGGAAGGCAGATAAAATACACCCAAAGAAAGAGACAGACAGATAGACAGACAGACAGAAAATATTACCATAGCAAAAAAAAAAATAATAATCAAAAACACAAACATAATAAATAAGATACAGAGGAAATCAGAAAAAAAAACACCGCCACTAACATTACTACCATACGGAAATACAGGACACGCCCATCAGAACAGTGGGTGGGCGGCGACTCAGGACACCAACACTCGGGTACCCATGCAAGTCGCCGTTAATTACTACACCGTTAGATCCTCTACCATTCATCCCATCCACCAGGCAGATGAGGCGGTACGTGGTGTGTGGGTTTGTGTGTGTGTGTGGGTTTGTGTGTGTTTGTGTGTGGGTTTGTGTGTGGGTTTGTGTGTGTTTTGTGTGTGGGTGGGTTGTGTGTGGGTGGTGTGTGTTTGTGTGTGTGTGGGTTTGTGTGTGTGTGGGTTTGTGTGGATTTGTGTGTGTGTGGGTTTGTGTTTGTGTGTTTGTGTGTGATATTCATATGTGCGTGCATTCATTTTTGTGTGTTTGTGTATAAATGCGCACATGTGTAACGCAAGCCCGTATGTATGTATGTATATATATATATGTATGTATGTATGTATGTGAATGAAACATGCTCTCGTATGTTTACATAACCATGAGTATGCGTCAGTATTGTGAGTTATATGTAGGAATAACAATACCAAGATATATGAGCACAATTATGAGAACTGTCCTCATAATACCTACAGCTCCCCCTTCCCTCCCTCTCCCACACCCCCCTCCCCATAATCTGTCTTGCCTGGGATATATACAGTATATGTGACGCCCCACCACCACCACATGAATCATACATACTTACTCACTGAATATTTAATAGCTCATGATGAATAACTTCCGTGACAGATAATAAACCTGCATAATAGTTGTGAGTTTGTTAATAGATAGTGGGGAATAATCTCTCGCTCTCTCTCTCTCTCTCTCTCGTAGCAAAAACAACGATAGAAACAGAGAGAGAGAGAGAGAGAGAGAGAGAGAGAGATAAGATAATATCGCATGGAAATCAGGAACACACTGAAATAATCTAATAAAGTTCCTCATTTGAAAACACATATACGCTATAGTGTTCTGACTGTGAATGTAGACCAGTGTTATAAAAGACTGTAAATAATATAAAAATACACACACACAATCGCCTCAATTTACAATATATCATTTGACCTCGAGAAGGGAGTCTTTTCTAAGGTTTTGTCATGTGATATACGGAGTCTCTTTACTGGTGTGTATAGGAAATATATGTGTAATATTTTGATTTGTTATTCAGTTTTTCATGTAAGTTTGGTGGTGATTTTTGTATTTCATATTTTTTTTTTTTTAGATGTTATGGAGTGTTAGTTAACGTCTTCTTTTGATGTGTTTTCATATTTCTAAAATGTGTGTGTGTGTGTGTGTGTGCGTGCGTGTGTGTGTGTGTGTGTGTGGAGGGACGGAGACCAATTTCACCTGTGAGATTCACCTGTGTCGACCTCGAACTTTGGTAATTGGCTCTCTAAGTCTCGTACCAACAGTCTTAAACACACATACACACACACACACACACACACACACCGCTTAAAAGTATATTACAAAAAAGTACGTTATATAAAAGTATATATTCATTCCATAACAGTAAAAAAAAAAATCTTACAAATCAGAGACCATGCTTAGTTGACGCAAAAAACCAAAACCAAAACACAATCTTATTTCCGGGTTATTGGGGCACTTATATCCACCCTTTGGAAGGAGTCGTGTTGGAGCTGCTGTGATTAGTCTTCGCTCGCCTTTAATCCAGTCAATTACAGTCACACGCCATCCTACTGTTTCTAGACAGA